GAGCACAAAATTTCAGCTCAATCGAATGTAATTGTGAAGAGTTATCGAATAAACGGACGGCCGGACACACTGACCGATTCTATAGTGTACTCTATTTTTTTTGAGTACACAAAAAGAGTGAACCATATCTATTTATCAATGATTTACATATTGAGATCGAAGCAGAGCAATTCGTAAGGAATCTCTTATATTTACAGAGACTTTTACGCACAGAGGAAAATGTTTTTCAATAGACGTAGTTGTAGCTTTCGATGAACTTCTCCATCAGTTGCGAGTCTTAAGAATCATATATGCATGATCTGGAAATATTTTTACATGATTCAGTTTTTTTTGTGAATTAATTACGCCTAAAAGTTATTTTCTTTAATATAGTAATAAATATGTGAAAACGAAATGGAAATCAATTTGCATGGATTTAATTCAAGAAATTCTATTGAAAAAGTGTGATTGTGTCGATATGAAGAAACAGAACTTATGGAACCGTTTCAAGAAGAGGAAAATCAGCTTATTTTTCGCATATCGTTTCTTTTAATAGTAATGTTTCTCTTTAGGATATATTATACTATCGGCAAAAGCCGGTAAAATCAGTCTGTCCGGGGCTATCAGCCTGTGACAAGCATGTCACTTGAAAATGGCAGACCACTTGGACTGCTTATCGTTTTTTCTACATCGAAGCTTTATTTGAACATTTGAGTTTATTGGCATTAAATAGATATAGACTGACTTAATTTTCAATAATAACATTTAAATCTGATGACTTCAATATGTATATGTATATCAGTATTATTATAAAGATACTAATGGAAAATCGATTCCGTTACGGGTTTCGGAAATGTCATCGACAAAAATTTCCATGAGGGCTTAGGTGAAGTGTATTTTTTTCTTCATCGACACCCAACCCTCTGTCGAACAAAAAGAGGACTATATTATTCAACAGCATATCTTTTGAGAATGATGCATATGAATAAGCTTTTATTCTTATTGACACAAAATGACATCTTATATATATATATATATATAATACTCAGTCTTTTTCGCCGCAGGCGTATATAACAATAGTATCGATTGGTGTACCACGGATTGATATTTCATTATGATAAATACCATCATAAACTTCTGTTTCATTTTCACCAGTACCAACACCACTAGCTTGAAGATTAACAATGGTGTCATCAGCACTACCAATTTGAACATCACCCATTAAAATATCATTTTGAAAAGCACCAACAGCAGTAGCTTGTTTACCAAGATTAGCAACATTGCCACGAGAATTATTACGAATACCTCAAATTAAAAATAAGTGCACTTACAGTAAGAAAGACTGTTAAAAGACATACCTTTTCGATTAACTGAATTTAATAAATGCATGCCCCTTGTCACCTCGCCAAATACAACCTAATTAATATAAATAAATTTGATAAATATTTAAACAAAAATAATATTTACATAATCATCGTCCAAGCATGGCATAGGACCTAAAAGATGAAAAGTACGTCTAGTTTTTATACAATAACAGAAAGAATAATTTACTCACCAAGTGTGATAAGGAATTTCGTCGAACGATCGTGTAACGACATACTTAAAAGACCAGCTTTTGAATGAAGAAGTCGTTGATCCTTTTGTTTTGGTGCTTCATCGAAAAATCTAAAAATAAGAAAAGTAGCACAAGAATTAAAAACAAATTATTCTTACCTATTACCATCTCTAGTGAAAATTTCTTTTTCACCGCCTAGACCAATAGCAAACATATTCAAAAATATTTTGATTCAATGAAACTTTTTACCTTCGATAAATCCGTTGACGTGTAAATAGTTAAAGGAGGTATTTTCGAAACCGAAACCCCTCTGCCCAATACATATTGATCTAAAATAGTCTAAAAATAAGAAGAATATTATAATATATTAAAAATTTGCTGCCTACTCGATGTAATTGGCGCTTTTTCATAGTATAACTAGAATAAAAAGTAGCCTATGAGAATGATTAAATTGAAGTCTTGCCATACTTTTATCAAAATATCATCGGAGAATTGTCCATTAATCTCTAAACTCAAGAAACACGTCTTACGCCGGATATCTGAAAAAAATCAAATATGAAAATAACTAAACATTTTAAAAATATTTATCCATAAAAAAAGTATCAATTTGTTTTTCTTTTTCTTCAAGTGCTTCTTTTTCTTTTATGGTTTTTTCGATTTCTTGTTTTTGAAAAGCCATTTTTTCTATTTCACTAGTATCAATCACTAATTCTTCTTCAGTCATGACTATTGGTGCTGGTGCTGGTGCTTGAGGAGGTGAAATCGATGATGGTAATGATGGTAAATTGCCCTACAAAATGCCATACGAAAACATATTTTGTTTGACAATAAAAACACTTTTTTACTTCATCATTTATCAATTGTAATTCAGTATCGTTTGCATTTGTTTGTGGTAGTGGTACTGGGGAGGGTGCAAAGGATGATGGCAAACTATCCTATAAAGATTTAAAATGTACAAGATATTTTTTCTCTTTATATAGCAAAATAAACCTTGCTGCATTAAAAATCAAATCAAATTGATGAAAAACGAAAATATGTTTCTATCAATTAGCGACAAAATTAGCCATAGTGGTAACTTCATTATAAACGTATACCTTGCGATCGGATAGATTCGAAAAACGAAATAATACTGTTTAAACAGAAACTAATCTGCTTTCATTTTATGCAAATAATAATCATCTAATTTTCTTTCTCATCGTAGGATTCAATCACAATGAGAATAAGATTTATATGAGCAAACTCTATGAACTTCTTTAACAGTCTTAGACTAATTCAAAAACGGTTATTTTTCTATAGAAAGAAAACGATAGGATATGAAAATGTAAAAATCGTTGCGCATACCTTCACACAATTATTGGTCTACTTTTTTTGTATGGATACCAACTAAAAGATTCGTAAATTGGATGGTATGAATATCTTTCTTTTTGATCACTCTTAAAAACTCTATGCTCTCGTATAAATTCCCTTACCGAAGAGATGTCATGTGATGTGCACATGGTGACCTATTCGGAATGTTCAACAGAAAATATAAGCAGTGTTAAATGAATTGTCTTTCTTCTCTCATTCACTGTCGAAGAACAACACGCACACAGCGTAAGTGAATGGAGTATTTTTTTTATTCTTTCTGAATGCCTCTTCGTTTTTATGAGCACGGCCAAATAGGTCGCTACGTGGGAAAAATCTTGACGGTTTTATTTCTTTATCCTGTGCTCTTATAAAGTGCATAACGATTGGTCACTCTCGTTCATTTATTTCCTTTCGTTCATCGACAAATCGTACCCTGGGCTGTGAGTTAATTTATATTTCTTAATTAAACTTCAAAAGTCCTTTATTTTGTGCTCTATCTCTATTGATACTATGCCGGAAATAAGTAGGGAAATGTCTAAAAACCTGTAAGCTCTCTTATGCAGAGTCTTCAGACATAAAAGATTACGTATTTAATATGTAGTCAAATGTTTTCAACAAGTGCAGGTCAGAGCCGGAACCGGTTACAAACGCTCTTTGACCGAAAAATTCCGGCAAGCCGAGCAGCAAATCGTATAAGTGACTCCGTCAAAATCATTACAGATACAGACAAACACGAAGAAGCGATGAAGTCAGATTGAACTCTTCACAATATCGATTCAGAGTGATTACAATTTAAAGTTTTCTCATTGGCTCCTAAGAGAAGTATTTTGAAGAATTTCAATCCTTCACGAAGTATGATCAAAACTTATAGTGAGATTCTAGAAAAGACATCCCTTATGTTTAAGAGCCAAGGAACATTTTAATTTTGTGAATAAGATCTCGAGAGTATTTTGACAGTTTGAGGATGAGTGTAGGTATGGGTCTTCTCTTCATCCATCCACCCACCCACACCCTACGGAATTTTCACCAAAAAAAATTATTTGGAGGTGATTTTTGTTGTATCTGTCTCAATTGTAAACTATCAGGATGAATCATATTCGAAGACAACGAAGAAATGATTTGTAATAAGATTGTGCTTCACGTACAGAGAAAAAAGAAAATGATAAATTCTGAACAGAACTAGCACATAATAAGCAGACGGAAGAGAGAAACATAACGAGACAAAAAATTGACTACCGATAAGATAATATGAACAACCGTTTGAAGTTATTTATCATCACAACTTTCGGTCGAATTTTCTTTCTGTAAAAATATCATTTCCTGTTTGGGTGCCTATCATTACCAATAATGTTCACCATCAACAGGACAAATCTTTAGATTGGCGATAGTTTTGAATGACCTTTTGATAATAATAGCATGAAACTAGCTAACTAGATATACGTATACTATATGTCGTATCGAAGTTACGCCGGTCGACGAAGTTATAACTTCGACAGAAATTTGCCAAAGTTATTTTTAATTCACTTATCAATAAATAATTTACCAAATTGAATATTCTGATGCTGAATGTATGATAAAAAATTAAGCTTTTTCTAACAAATACTCATTTATTTAACGATATCGTTAAATAAATGAGTATTTGTTAGAAAAAGCTTAATTTTTTATCATACATTCAGCATCAGAATATTCAATTTGGTAAATTATTTATTGATAAGTGAATTAAAAATAACTTTGGCAAATTTCTGTCGAAGTTATAACTTCGTCGACCGGCGTAACTTCGATACGACATATAGTATACGTATATCTAGTTAGCTAGTTTCATGCTATTATTATCAAAAGGTCATTCAAAACTATCGCCAATCTAAAGATTTGTCCTGTTGATGGTGAACATTATTGGTAATGATAGGCACCCAAACAGGAAATGATATTTTTACAGAAAGAAAATTCGACCGAAAGTTGTGATGATAAATAACTTCAAACGGTTGTTCATATTATCTTATCGGTAGTCAATTTTTTGTCTCGTTATGTTTCTCTCTTCCGTCTGCTTATTATGTGCTAGTTCTGTTCAGAATTTATCATTTTCTTTTTTCTCTGTACGTGAAGCACAATCTTATTACAAATCATTTCTTCGTTGTCTTCGAATATGATTCATCCTGATAGTTTACAATTGAGACAGATACAACAAAAATCACCTCCAAATAATTTTTTTTGGTGAAAATTCCGTAGGGTGTGGGTGGGTGGATGGATGAAGAGAAGACCCATACCTACACTCATCCTCAAACTGTCAAAATACTCTCGAGATCTTATTCACAAAATTAAAATGTTCCTTGGCTCTTAAACATAAGGGATGTCTTTTCTAGAATCTCACTATAAGTTTTGATCATACTTCGTGAAGGATTGAAATTCTTCAAAATACTTCTCTTAGGAGCCAATGAGAAAACTTTAAATTGTAATCACTCTGAATCGATATTGTGAAGAGTTCAATCTGACTTCATCGCTTCTTCGTGTTTGTCTGTATCTGTAATGATTTTGACGGAGTCACTTATACGATTTGCTGCTCGGCTTGCCGGAATTTTTCGGTCAAAGAGCGTTTGTAACCGGTTCCGGCTCTGACCTGCACTTGTTGAAAACATTTGACTACATATTAAATACGTAATCTTTTATGTCTGAAGACTCTGCATAAGAGAGCTTACAGGTTTTTAGACATTTCCCTACTTATTTCCGGCATAGTATCAATAGAGATAGAGCACAAAATAAAGGACTTTTGAAGTTTAATTAAGAAATATAAATTAACTCACAGCCCAGGGTACGATTTGTCGATGAACGAAAGGAAATAAATGAACGAGAGTGACCAATCGTTATGCACTTTATAAGAGCACAGGATAAAGAAATAAAACCGTCAAGATTTTTCCCACGTAGCGACCTATTTGGCCGTGCTCATAAAAACGAAGAGGCATTCAGAAAGAATAAAAAAAATACTCCATTCACTTACGCTGTGTGCGTGTTGTTCTTCGACAGTGAATGAGAGAAGAAAGACAATTCATTTAACACTGCTTATATTTTCTGTTGAACATTCCGAATAGGTCACCATGTGCACATCACATGACATCTCTTCGGTAAGGGAATTTATACGAGAGCATAGAGTTTTTAAGAGTGATCAAAAAGAAAGATATTCATACCATCCAATTTACGAATCTTTTAGTTGGTATCCATACAAAAAAAGTAGACCAATAATTGTGTGAAGGTATGCGCAACGATTTTTACATTTTCATATCCTATCGTTTTCTTTCTATAGAAAAATAACCGTTTTTGAATTAGTCTAAGACTGTTAAAGAAGTTCATAGAGTTTGCTCATATAAATCTTATTCTCATTGTGATTGAATCCTACGATGAGAAAGAAAATTAGATGATTATTATTTGCATAAAATGAAAGCAGATTAGTTTCTGTTTAAACAGTATTATTTCGTTTTTCGAATCTATCCGATCGCAAGGTATACGTTTATAATGAAGTTACCACTATGGCTAATTTTGTCGCTAATTGATAGAAACATATTTTCGTTTTTCATCAATTTGATTTGATTTTTAATGCAGCAAGGTTTATTTTGCTATATAAAGAGAAAAAATATCTTGTACATTTTAAATCTTTATAGGATAGTTTGCCATCATCCTTTGCACCCTCCCCAGTACCACTACCACAAACAAATGCAAACGATACTGAATTACAATTGATAAATGATGAAGTAAAAAAGTGTTTTTATTGTCAAACAAAATATGTTTTCGTATGGCATTTTGTAGGGCAATTTACCATCATTACCATCATCGATTTCACCTCCTCAAGCACCAGCACCAGCACCAATAGTCATGACTGAAGAAGAATTAGTGATTGATACTAGTGAAATAGAAAAAATGGCTTTTCAAAAACAAGAAATCGAAAAAACCATAAAAGAAAAAGAAGCACTTGAAGAAAAAGAAAAACAAATTGATACTTTTTTTATGGATAAATATTTTTAAAATGTTTAGTTATTTTCATATTTGATTTTTTTCAGATATCCGGCGTAAGACGTGTTTCTTGAGTTTAGAGATTAATGGACAATTCTCCGATGATATTTTGATAAAAGTATGGCAAGACTTCAATTTAATCATTCTCATAGGCTACTTTTTATTCTAGTTATACTATGAAAAAGCGCCAATTACATCGAGTAGGCAGCAAATTTTTAATATATTATAATATTCTTCTTATTTTTAGACTATTTTAGATCAATATGTATTGGGCAGAGGGGTTTCGGTTTCGAAAATACCTCCTTTAACTATTTACACGTCAACGGATTTATCGAAGGTAAAAAGTTTCATTGAATCAAAATATTTTTGAATATGTTTGCTATTGGTCTAGGCGGTGAAAAAGAAATTTTCACTAGAGATGGTAATAGGTAAGAATAATTTGTTTTTAATTCTTGTGCTACTTTTCTTATTTTTAGATTTTTCGATGAAGCACCAAAACAAAAGGATCAACGACTTCTTCATTCAAAAGCTGGTCTTTTAAGTATGTCGTTACACGATCGTTCGACGAAATTCCTTATCACACTTGGTGAGTAAATTATTCTTTCTGTTATTGTATAAAAACTAGACGTACTTTTCATCTTTTAGGTCCTATGCCATGCTTGGACGATGATTATGTAAATATTATTTTTGTTTAAATATTTATCAAATTTATTTATATTAATTAGGTTGTATTTGGCGAGGTGACAAGGGGCATGCATTTATTAAATTCAGTTAATCGAAAAGGTATGTCTTTTAACAGTCTTTCTTACTGTAAGTGCACTTATTTTTAATTTGAGGTATTCGTAATAATTCTCGTGGCAATGTTGCTAATCTTGGTAAACAAGCTACTGCTGTTGGTGCTTTTCAAAATGATATTTTAATGGGTGATGTTCAAATTGGTAGTGCTGATGACACCATTGTTAATCTTCAAGCTAGTGGTGTTGGTACTGGTGAAAATGAAACAGAAGTTTATGATGGTATTTATCATAATGAAATATCAATCCGTGGTACACCAATCGATACTATTGTTATATACGCCTGCGGCGAAAAAGACTGAGTATTATATATATATATATATATAAGATGTCATTTTGTGTCAATAAGAATAAAA